GAAGTATGTAGTAAATTCAAGCAAAGAAAAATTAATTCTCATTACTATTTACCATTATTTATTAATATTGAACTGTGGATTTTATGCACTCGTAACACGCATGATTTTCTAAATGCTACTAAAAGTCATTAGAATTTTATAAATAAACAAATTTAAGGAAAAGCATATACTAACCAAAGCTACGTGTTCAAATTTTTTGTTATCTGTGATGAAACAATTATCCTTGAATCAGAAAAATATTTATTGTAATCATTAAATGATTCTAAATTTTTATTTAGCAGTATTGTCATCTTGTTAACCCTTATCCGTCCCTCATGTCCCCAACTTAATTTGTCCCTTGGCATTAGATTGACGCAGTGGTGAAAAATTAATATAATGAAAAGATAAGTAGTTAAATTTGCAAAATCTTTAAAGTAAACGTCACGGAGCCTCAGCTACATTTACCTACACATGACAGAAAAACATCATTTCTTAGGAGAATAATGTGTCAAATTGACAAGGAACGGATGAGGATTAAGAAAATGGCGGATTGCTCTTTGGTACATTAATACAAGACAACTGCGTGTACTTATTTTACTACGTCTCATTACACAAGAATGTCAAAAATAACCTCTGGAAAGAATCTGCTCTTTTATTTCATTAATGAATACCGGAAGCGTAGGGTATTATACGCAGAATCCCGCGGCAAAGCCGCGGAAGGTTAATTTCGCACGATAGACACGACTTTTATTTCGCTGTTCCGGGTATTTTAATAGCTGCGCCCCGCCATTGCTCGTTTCAATTAGCATTCATACTTTCCCCTTTATTCCACGGTGACTTATTAAATTCAGCACTCTTCGAAAATTGTATTTAATCCCTGCACGGTGTATCCATCCATAAATATTAATACATGTATACATAAAATATGGGTCAATGGATTCCTCGTTTGAGGCGTGTGCCTCATTCAGAATCACTGAGGAACAGTTTTTCTGCATTCCTGTGCTTTAGTTTCTCTACAGGGTGATCTAGATACAAGTTAAAAAATGTATGCATGAAAAATGTACAGTCAATGTACATTTACTCAAAGTAATAGTGATTACTAAACTGCGGATGTTTATGCATTCGTAGCACTTTGTACTTTGGAAAGTGCACTAAAATAAAGTTTTTAATAAAGTTTAATATTACTTATGTGTTATTACTGGATTGCGGATGTTTACGTATCTATAGCATCCCTTAACTTGGATAATGCAATTAAATAAAGGATTTAGGAAAGTTTAAAATCTTTTACGTGTTATTATTAACGCAGTACAGCCTCTAGGACAAAATTCAAAATTTTGTTCCATTTTCATTCTTAGATATTAGTACATAAAACATAAATTTCCGCAGTCTAGTTATCACTAATGTGGTGAAGCCTCTAGTACAGAATTTATGATTCCACCCCATTTTTATTATTAAGTATTCGTATCTAAAATTATGAATTTGTATGAACTTCCGCAGTCTAGTCATTACTTATTTTTATTTGCCCAATGAAATATTTCTTGTACGCCCTCTAGAAACGTATGCTGGTAGTAATGCACTAATGTACAATTTACATTCGTAAATTTGTGTATATTGAAAATGTCGAACTCGGTATCGATAAAAATGTCTCAGTGCAGAAGAATATCTCAAATATTTCCAGCCGTGCCTGTTAGACATTTTTGCGACTGGATGTTTACTCTGTCTGAAAGAAAACCAATACATTAGGGACGATGGTCTATAAAAGTCAGTCGGCGTCTTCTGTAACGAGCGTAGCGTAATGAAAACTGATAACCTCTTATTTTTCTCGTGCAAATACTTCCCTCCCCCCCTCCCCCCGCTCGATATTATGCTCCACACATCGATCCTTCACGCGTTATCGCGTAAAATTCTACATTACAAGTACCATAACATTTTCGTGACAACCGGAGTAGCTTGATATACATACGCCCCTCTTCACACGCAATCGATAGTTACGAGATTGTAGAAAACACCAAGTTTCATCGCCGAAGAAAATATTGTTGTACCATTCTTGTTTAAATGTTCAATGTTCTATTGCAAATTTCAATGTGATTTGAATCTAGATAGTCTGAAGTGAACCTTTAACGAAAACCTCGTTGAAATTTTATTCCACTGCATTTCAGATAGTCGTGAGTGCTATAAATGCATAAACTCCGCAGTATACAATAAGCCTACTTGTAAGTTGTTACTACATGTTAAACTAATTCTGTAAAAATTTCTATCGTTTCGTCATTCCTGAAAAAGTAGCCCCTCCAACGCCAAATGACCGTTTACGCACAAGTTTCTCATGTGTTCGGTTAAGGGTTGAGGTAACGAAGCATTTGCCATCGTGAGAATTTGAAAAATTACGAAAATCAGGAATTTTTACTATGTTTAAAGCTTAGTATGTAATTTAGAAAGAAAATAAACGTTTAATCAAACACGTATTAACTGAAAATCAAATAACTTTCGTTTCACTTATTTCATCATTCACCATACGCCATTTTAATCTTCTTACATCCCTGGGGTCAATTTGCCCCGAAGCCAATATTTGATTCTCAATTACATTTTGCATTATAGAAATTTGAGAATTAATTCGACACCAATAGTTTATATACATTATAATCAAGAGGTACGCAAATACATTCCGTTCTTCGACTTTAATTCAGGCCCAATTTCATTCAAGGATTAGTAATGCAATGTTTGATTTACCAGTGCACGAGGCTCAAAACTACTTTCAATTTCTCGATTCGCTGAACCTGCCCTACACACAGTAATGTTATGAAACTACAATCTTTTTCGATCTATTGAGAATTCATTTCCAAAATGAGTTCGATATTCAAGAACAACGCAGAAAGTACCTACCCATAGAAATCACAATGTAGTAAATACAACGCGCTGTCAGAACTGGAGCGGATGCTCGAAAGTTCCGCGAGTTGGCGCCACCGTGGCAAGCCTTTGCGTGCACAGGATATCCGAGGAATTGCGTATGAAACAATGGCGGATGCATTTCGCGGCCGGAACAATATCCTCTGTGTCGTTTCCATTAAACGTGCTCAAGTAGCAGAAGTAGGTCGAAAATAAATGTGCAGCCCCGTACTCAGTGAGAGAGACAGAGAGGGAAATGTAGATAGACCGGCCAATGAGCTAGCCGGCATAACGCTGTTACGAGCGTTAATGGGATCCAGCGTCGTAGTTGGACCAAACGCCCCGGCCTGGATTCCCTCAGAATCGTCTCAGCGGCGGCCGCTACGTCGCTCGCCAAATTGAATGAAATTGCAATTTGAAAATTAATCGCCGGCTGTCCGGCGTTTCAACGTTGCATTAAGGGCGCCCGCTTGAACCCTCGAAAACGGGACCCGTCGAGATTTGCATGGTTGAGCACTGAATTCTTGGAGTTTCGAATCTCGGGACTCTGTTCTTTGTTCAAATTGCTACGAATCGAGTTCTTGAACCTTGTGTTATTTTATGGTAAATGTTATTATTTTTTTTACCGCAATTTTTATTCCAGATACTTGAAAATTCTTCACACGTGATTCTATTAATTTTTGCATTTTTTTATTCAAATAGCTATGGTGTTTCTGAGTGCTGGGGGCATTTTATAGCATTTCATAGGACTTCAAAGATGTCGTAAATATTTATAAGTCCCAGCCAGGTTTTATATATATTGGTACTTGGCAGCATCTTATTTGATATGAGTGGTATTATGAAGTACCGTTAGGAAATAAAGGATTAAATATTTAAGTTGGATGTGAATCCTTTATACATGACGTGTGGTGATTTCAATGCTTCGAATCTTAACCTTTGGTACTTATGTACTTATGTTTTTAAAGCTAAATCGTAATTTATGGTTTTGAAGCTTTACAGGTTTAAATGGTGATTTTTAAAATTTTGCAGGTTAAAAACTTCAAGTTTAAATATCTGAGGTTCAAATATTCCTTGTCTAAAGCGTTCGGTTCTGAATTTTCGGAATTTGAAGGCTTTAATTCTCGACTTTCATACGGCTGATGCTCCGACATTTTACTCGGTAATTTGAGCATCAAATACGTATTTACCTATATTTGAAATTTGAAGTCGTATAATTTGTATTTCTATGAATTGAATATTTGTAATTGGAATCGCTCAAGGTTCGATCACCAATCTACTTTAATATTGAAATTCACACATCAATCTACAATCTATCCTCTATTACCAGAAGTGATGTGATTAGTGCCCTATTTTCGGGAAATTGATTTTTCCAGGTGCATCGGACCCCTATGTTGGTATACTTTCTGTTACTTTAGATAGGGTGTCATACTTAATAGTGTTTCAGATGAAAAAGGGGAAGAAAGGTGGCTAAACATGAGACAAAATGTAAAATGGATACTGTAAATGAAGACTGGGAACGTCCCAAAGCCGAAAAGCAAGGGACACTGAAAATAAATAATAATAATAATATTTTCAGTAAATTACTATTTCAAATGTTCGAAACTATTCATCTCGATGACCCAATTTCAAGTGAATCATTTATGTCAGATCAGTTGGATGCTTTTTAATCTATACAGGGTGTAACAAAAATGTTGTCCGACCCGAAAATGGGGTACTCGGGGGGTGAATTGGAACAAGTTTTTCCTTAGCAACAATGTAATCTGAAACTTCGTTACCGAGATATTAACGAAAAACCCCAACCAATCAGAGCGCGCGTTTATCAGCCGAGTTCCCGCGCTAGCGGTGGCTACGCGCTGCGATTTGTATCCAACGCTCTGATTGGTCGGGGTTTTTCGTTAATATCTTGGTAACGAAGCCTCAGATTACATTGTTGCTGATGAAAAACTTGTTCCAATTCACCCCCCGAGTGCCCCATTTCCGGTTCGGACAAAATTTTTGTTACACCCTGTATAGACAAGCTTTCGCGCCAACCAAGTTCGTAAACGTTCGTATTTTTCAGCGTTTCAGATGTACAGGTACCAGCTCTATAGTGGACCGCGGTTCTGTAGATTTACGCTAAATTGATTGGCAGCACTCACCCGTGTCCTGACAGCCTCTCAGCTCGATTCGAAGGCAAACGGTGCGCCTGTGCACGGAGTGTGGCAAAATACGGATCTGGCTGGCGAAGATCGGCGGGATTAATCGATGCGACACTATGGTGGAAGTGTCGCTGTTTCCGGCTAGCACCTGAAAATCACAAGTAAATGGATGTGAAAGGTAGTATTCTTCTCTTATATAAGATAAAATAATAACTATTGTCATCGTAATATTCTGAAAATTATGAGAGCAGAATTAAAACTTCTGTAGCAGAAGTTGAAGACAGTTTGGATGTTCGAAGATTATATTAGGTATATCAATAAGGAATTATTAGTAATCTCAACCGGACACTATTAGAAAGAAGATAAATATCGTTCTGCCTTTTTATTGAGTAAAAATAGTGTAGGATGTTAGAAACTTATTATGAACATAAATTAAATAGTATAGATACTTGGTTTTCAAAAACGAATTCTAATTTCGTTGAGAATTCAGATTAGATCACCTGTTGATACACCTAATACTTATTTATATGAAGTGAAGTTTCATACAAATCATTGTATTTCTAAACAGTTTCAGTGACTCTTCTTTATTAGGTAATATGTCGTTTCGTACTTGTATCGTGAAACACAGAGTAAAAATCGAATTTCTTTAGTGTCTAATACTATATTCTATTTACATCAAGGTTGGATCACTTTTCTATTACTGGAACCAGTAGACTCAAATTTATTCACCTAATTCTTAATAGCTGTCTTAGAAGGACGATTATAACCACCGAAAATATTCCAAATTTTGTGATATGTAGTTTTCACAGATCCACGATTTTCGTAGTGGATTTTAATTATTTGTATGTGATTTTCGATTGAAATTGAAGACATTACAATAAATTGTAGACCTTGTACTTGACATATGCCAAACAACAGAATGACAAAACTATCACCACATTCAAAATTTCCCCTATTAAAAAACAAAGTCCCTCTTGAAAAGCAGGAGTGTATTTATAATATCGCGCAACGAGAGAACACTACCACAAACACGATTTTTGCCAAACGAACAGGTTTCACTGTCGTTTAACCAGCATTTATCTCCCATTATTAATTAACCACCGCATCACGGCACCGGCCGAATTAAAACGGTCTATTAACGTATAAGGACTTCTATTGGTAAAATCACACGGACTACTTTCCGTGGAAACTGTGTTCAATCGTTGAATCGTAAGTAAATTTGTGTCGGTGCCACGGCGACGATGTTTATTACCGTTACCATATAATTATCGGTTTAACAGTGATAATTTCACCGATTCAATTACACCGGCCGATTAATGTGTCCGCGTCCCACCGCGAAACCGAGTTTAACAATTTCCCCGATGCTCGACGCACGGATTATTTCAACGGCCACGCGAGCGCGCGTGTGTTTCGGGGACAATTTTGTATCTGATAATAACGTCGCCGCCGGCCCGTTGATCGTGGCCAACGGGATCGCAGAAACGACGTAGACGTTGATGCACGGTCGGGCCGGAACGTCAAATCGACGTCGATATTAATCAACTTATTCATCCCCACCACCCCGAAATCTCGGCGCGTCCGCTGGCAGAGCCGTTTCATCATAGATCATGATCGCATCGGCACGAAGGCAATGCCACGGTTAATGCACCGTCTGGTCCGGATTGCGTAAATTATCAGTCGAATAAACTGGGACGTCACGGTGTGCCGTGAGCCAGGCTAGGGATTATCGGACTGATCCGTGAAATGAAATATGGCGGAAACGTATGGAGACGTCAGGAATTTCACTTCGGTTCCTGTTGGTAATGGTTAGCCTTTGATTTGGTCATATCGAACCATATTTTGGGTCATTATCTAATACGATACGTACACTACAGATTAGAAGTATTGGGACATCTGGTTTGTATGAAGAAAATTCGATGTTTCGTGAAAATTGTACAGGGTGTTTTCGAAATGGTGGTACAGTCGGGTAGGGAATGATTCTTCGTGAAAAAGTAAGTAGAAAATGTAGAATAATGGTTTTTCGTAGGATGGTTCGTTTCCAAGAAAATCAGCTTTCAAAATTCATCTAACTTGCGTGTATTCATATGACAATAAATAGAAACAGAATCTAATGAACAGATGTTTTAGCCAAGTCCTATTCAATTTTATGCGTATCCAGCAGATGTTCAAATTCGATTTTCTGCAAAACGAAGCATCGTACGAAAAAATGTTATTGTATATTTTCGACTTACGTGTACATACAGAATCAGATCCTTTCGAGTTGTACCACTGTTTCTGAAACACCCTGTATGTTGCAGGCCTTTTATCACAGTTTTATACAGGGTGTTCCTCTTAAAACAGGCCACCTTAATATATTCTCTACCTGTGATCATATGAGAAATATTTTTTATGTAATTGAAATGGTTTCAAGAGATGAGTCAGATGGTGGACAAAATTATATAAGTGAATTTGAAATTTTTAGAGTAAATTTTTTAGAAGTGACTTTAAAAGTTTTAGAGTTCAAGGTCATTTAAAGGTCATACTATTATACATACATACTGTTGGCTATAACATACAACAGGAAAAATTATCTTCATATACGTAAAAGAACATGGGTGACTTTAAGAAAACCATTAAAGTTGACACAACAAATTTTTGCGTCCATACGATTCGTATCTTGAAAGCATTTAAGTTACGTAAAAAATATTTCTCGTATGATAACAGATAGAAAAGATATTTAGGTGGCCTGTTTTAAGCGGAACACCCCGTATAACAATTCCTATTATGTTATTAAACATAATAAAACTTAATTTTTCTTGCCTTTGATCAAAGAACCCTCTTCACATATTTGAGAGAAAGTAAAATTCTGTAAGTTTCGATTGCATTTGTGATAATGCTAAACACCTCAATTCCATCAAATGAAGGAGACAGAGGACAAACAAAGCTTTATTTCACCGATAAACTTTTAAATGCACATTCAAATCTATGCCATACGATTTATACAACTCTAGAAGAAACTATAATACAATGAAAAATCACATGATACTAATATGTTATTTCGTCATTTAAAATACATAGCCATATGGCAACAGTGGGAACGAAAAGGTTAACTACTGCAAAATTAGCCTGTAATTTCAATACAATAATTTCTACGAAACTATCCAAAACGAAACATAACGTCTCCAAAAATCGATTTTACACAGAGAAGTTCCACGAAACGAATACGAGAACCGACCAGTTCCCCCCCGTATCAACGGACAATAAACTATTGTCCACCCGGGAACACGTTATACACGGACCAACTAAAACTACTCGACTGGTACAATACTCGTGGAACCGTCGTTAATTAATCGACGATTCAGCGTGACCCGGGCGGTATTGCTGAAAATTTAATCGTAGTCTGGGAAGTCGGACAGCTTGTTTCGACCAATACCATTAGGAAATTGATAACGACGATGGCCGTTTCCGGCGTGTATGCTCGAACAGGTCGCTCTGGTTCCGGATTATATTCGGACCTCTCTTCTTCCCCGATGATAACAAGCTTACGTGCCCGGTAGAGGTGTTCGCGTAAACTTTGATTTTCTTCTCGATAACGAAAGGTGAGAAAGGAACGGACAGACGTCGGGAAAGTTCGCCGGTTAACCGTACGATACGAGAAAGCACCGGTACACGATTTCCGGCGTACACGTAGTTATCGATGACCGTGTCCTAGTTTCCTCTGTTCAATCTTTTAGAACATTTAGACACAGCCGAGACTCGCGAGCGTCTCCCGTGACTCGAATCGCGCCACGAATCGCGGACACCGACGGAATCGCAATAAGGAGATGGACGAGAAGTTCCCTCCATAGCCCGTCCACATTTTTCCGGGAAGTTTCTCTTCTTCAAAACTAAACCGTGCTTACGGTTTGACGTTTGAAAAGATACTGTCAGAAGTGTATTAACAAATTCAACCCCGTAATGCCATCCTGGAGTCACCGACGACCCTGCAAAATTTTAACCTTGTCTACTGACGTGAAAATACACATTAGAACGTTCAGTTTTATTCTGCAAATAAATAAAGATATACATTTTTATTTTAACCATCGTACTACAAGTAAGGTGGGTAGGGTACTTTAGTCCCATCATATTACTGAATTGCCTGAAGTACCATTTTGAAAAACATTCGGTATTCATAAAAAATTTTCTAAGAAAATTGTTTATTTGGAATAGCGTTTTCTAATTTTACTGGAATATTGTATTTTGAAACCCATTATACCCAGATATGTTCATGACATAAAGTTTATTGTAAGATATTATAGGTTTTTATTAGGTGATCATAAAGTACGCCTTCCCTCTCTGTTACTTTATCTAACAAAAAAGAAGTTTAGTATTGCGAGGGCTAATTATTTCACTTAAAAGCAAACAACTCTGTCATTTTATTCACTCCATTATCAATGGAAAGATATCTTACCTCCCTCACACTAATAACTTTTACTAAATGACATTCAGTTTGTTCAAAACTTCTTACCAAGGATAGTACAGTAGACTCGCAATAATTACCCGCATTTGGGGCTCTAGAGGCGGACAGTTATAGCACCGAGTAATTAACTTGTAGAGAACGTGAAGCCTATTTTTAGGCTCCAGAGAAATCCCTTATTATTCGTACTACATATATCACTATGACAAATAGTAATAATAATATTAATAAATTTAACACATGAAAATTAGATTTTCTAATATCTATATCTTTTTATGCGGTATAGATTTCATTTTGAAAAATTGGAAAAATGTGATTGATTGATTTAGAAACGAAAAAAGTACAGATTACACCAGTGAACGAACAATATTAAATAAATGAACATTTCTAACGAAAGCAATGGCGCGAAAATTGTTTGAATCCGAACACAAGGAATTGAAAAAGCATCAATATTTAATCATTTGTTCATTTTAGTAACTTAATTTACAGATTGCTACATAGAATGTTCATTTACTGCTGCATCCACCCTATAAAAAAGTTCTAACTTAAAAAAAAAGTTCTAACTTATAAACAATTTTAAAAAACCTGCCCGTCCTCTAAAAGTTAAATGCGTATCAGCACGGGACATTTCTAACTGGTGTTTATCCAGCAGGCAATTATTGCGAGTCTACTGTACGTCGTCTGTCGCGAAAGTGTTTTACACGTAAAACAGTTTTTGTTCGATGGGAGTTGACCCATGGCTCGTTTCTGTATCGCGAACAAACCACCGACTAATCCGCGAAAGGAAAACAAAGGGGATGACGATGTTCGCTTGATTACGGTCACGTTATTCAGTATCGTCCGACTTAACTTACGTCTCCTCCACTGTTAACATACACACGAGGGGACACGTACCTCCTTGTTATCCCAGCGCTTATATCGCTGCCACTCGGTGAACCCTGGACGTCGATACTCGAGGGTGTACTCCTCGACGTATTCCTGGCCACGGTCGTGATCGTAACGACCCTGACTCTGTACACCGGTGATCACGTGCGGCCCGGGCAGATCCACTTGCAGCCACTCACGGATTCCTCGTTCTATTTGACTCTTCGGGCACCAGGCACCGCCGGCTGTCTCCTTCCGGAGCCTGTTTTTCCAACAGAATTTTGTGATCGTTATTTGGTTTTACAGGCGAATTTTCACTTGTTAACCCCAGAGAATCGGTTTATTGTTATTGAGTACGAAATGAACAGACGCTATTGAATACACTGATTTGGTTCAGATATTTCGTACTTGGAAGTCATATACCAGTTTTAGTGTTATTAACCTCTTCAGGGACGAATATATTAAGACCAGAAGTAAATGATTTCTTTTTACCTTTCAGCTATAATTATTTTAAATATATATTATAAATATTAACGAAAAGAGAGATATCTTTTTTTGTTGAGAAGAAAATTAAATGTACACATATGTGGTAGTATCCCTCAAGAGGTTAAGCAAATGAGAATATTTCTCTTTGCATCGATATGAAATGTAACTTGAAAATTATAACACGATTGATCATTTGCTGATGTCTTTCTGCCACTTTGTACAATTCACAGATTGATTAATTTACCGAAACGTTTTCAATGCGCTTCACCGAAAATTGAAGTGATTCCATTCAAAAACGTTTGAAATTGTACGCCACCATTTTTTATCATTAACATAATTATTATTTCCTTGTTACACAGTACGGGTGTATACGGAAATGTAAATAGATGTCATTATTAAAAGTGTCGAAATGAGCTGCTGCAGAACCTAAACCTTTTTTTTTCAATCGATATCTCTAAATTATTGTTTTGAAAATTTCTCGGACTAATGTGACAGAAGTTAACCCTCATTCGTCCCTCATTTTACCAACTCAAATTGACCCAGTGGTAAAAATTAATACAATGAAATCATAAATAGTTAAATTTGCAAATTCTTTAAAGTAAAAATCACGAAGCCTCAGCTAAATTAACTACACATGACAGAATAATGTCATTTTGTAGGAGAAAACTGTTTCAAATTAACACAAGGGACGGATGAGGGTTAATAAATAATCTTCACAGATCGAAAGTCTAAATTTAAGAAACCTGAATATTTTAACCAATGTTATAAATTCAACATGAAAATTCCTACACAAAATAAGATACTAAGTAATTTTTGCAATACTTTCTACTTTATATTTTCGTTATTTGTAGAGAAAATTTAAATGATTCGAATGAAATCTCGTTTGTCCAGGAAAAACCGCAATCCACTTACGTGATTCATATTAAGAATAAAAAATTTACAGTGACAACGAGTCCCGAAAAAGAAGAATGGAGAATCAATTTCCATTTCCATCGGAATATACCTGCCCAGACGTAGAAACGGCTGAAATGGCACATTAATACTCGTACCGAAAATGTAGCCACGTCAAAATCGTTCGCGTTCAATTCACGGCTCGTTTCACCGTATCCCCTTCCCGTTACAATGGGCCATCGGTAATTTTTCACCCGAATCGGGCAGACATAATTAATTGATATTATATTCCCGTCGGTGCTCGAGACATGACAGACACGACACGGTAAATACCGGGACAGAGAGAACTTTAAGCTGATTTTAAGTGGACGGACCTAAGTTGACCACTCAAACCGGTTAATTAATTAAATCACAGCAGCTGCTTTGGCGATGCTCAATGTTTGTCGATGCGAAATCACTCTGCGTGTTAGGAAATTTCGGAAGTTTTTAGCCAATCAAAAGTACAGTCTGTCTAATAAGTGCGTGACGGAAAATTTGTTATCTACATGCAGCTATCCAAAAAATTCTGGTGAATTTAGATGGTCTGACCTTTCCTCTACGACGCTTTCATGTGAATCTAATCTCCGTTATTGTTTATAATTACCTCGTATCTTCCACACATATTCTCCGAGTGAAGATCGCTCTATTGATCGAATTTTGTGAATTAGTTGCTTTAAATTCCATATATTTTTCCTTCGAAGCTTCTACTTTGTGTATTCCTTAATACTTGGATACCATTTGCGGTTTCTACTCCGTACAGCGAGAGCTCCGATGTTTAGGATCATCGGTAATTATTATTAGACTGCGGATTTTAGGCATTTATAGCCTATACGTCTCTGTGAAATACAATGAAGCACAAAACTTTCGTCAGATGCAACGAGTTTTCTATTTTCTTTTGAACCCAATAAGATACTTAGGGGAAGAAAGAAATTTCTACTTTTGTTTTTGTCTTTATGAGCAACCTTCTAAAATGTGATCTTACATAAAAGTCCGCAGTCTAGTAATTATACAGAATAAGGAAGCCACATCCGATTTCAATGACCTTAAAATATGCTGTCAAGGTCATCATTCTGGACAACTTTTTCCTATACATATAATAGTCAATCTCTTTTAGTTTTCGGGATATTTGCACAAATTTGTTTACCACTATGTATATCGAACGATAAGAGTATGTTTTAAGATTCCCTCTTAAATTAAGGGTGAATATTTATAGTATTTGTGTATTATGAACGTATACAATGTGTCCCAAAATAGGTGTAAGCTCTTGAAAGAGGTGCTTCTTGGGGTGATTTAAAACAACTTTTTCCTTAGCGAAAAATTTCTCCGAGGCTTTGTTAATGAGATATTAACGAGAAACTCCAACCCATCAGAGCGCGAAACTGTGGTAGCGAGTAGCCAACGTTACCGCAGGAGCTCAGCCGGCAAATCTTGCGCTCTGATTGGTCAGTATTTTTCGTTAATATCTCGTTAACAGAACCTCGGAGAACTTCTTCGCTAAGGAAAAAGTTACTTCAGATTATCCCAGGAATCACCCCTTTCAAGGAGTTACAACTATTTTGGGACACCCTGTATATGTTATGAAGTAAAAGCGTGGGCGTTTATTCAAATGTACATAATTTTCTGGGCACCCAACATCCCACTACACACCACCCAGTGTTAAGTACGCATTCTAATTCCTATGGAACACAGGTTTAGTTATTAATAAATATCTAAAAAAAAAAACTCGAAAATAGTTCATTTCTTCGTTGGATCCCAGAGCACATCGTGTGTCTGTCTTGTGTTTGGTGGGATATTGGATGCGTGGTTAACACGTGGTGAAATGTTTGGTGCCTGGAAAATTATGTACGTTGGAGTACACTGTTCATAAAACATAAGAAATCTAAACAAGAGGCATGTACTTATACTAATAATACTCTATTAACACTAGAACTACCAAAGCAGTCAAAATGACTGTTAGTATACTCGATTATAACGATAATTAAGATGTTAAAACAATGCATTGTCCCAGTTATTTTGCAACTTTCACTGCAATATACATACATAATAGTCAAAAAACCAGGTAATTTGTAAATTTATATATTTTCAAAAGTTTGTCATATTTATCGATCCGATGAAAATAGATATACGTTTATTAACGGTAGTTCTAGTGTTAAACGCACATGCTGTCGAAGAATTATTTAGCTTAAAATTAACTTGTTTCGCGAATATTTCGAAAATCGAAAGAGACCGACTATTATATATATAGGAAAAAGTTTTTCAAAATAATGACCTTGACAACATATTTCAAGGTCATTGAAATCGGAGGTGATTCCCTTATTCTGTATAATTATCAGATCATTATCCTCCTGCAGCATCGATTTTTCCCTCCAAACCATTTCACAGCTGACCTCAATAAACCTCTGTGATACGTCTTTATCACTTTTTTAATAATACTGCTTCGAAACGCACTCATAAAAGCGTCGTTTCCTTACGAAGGTCGGACTATTACTAAACATTTACCTACCATGTGTCGTAGAGGAAGGATTAGGCTACCTGAGTTCACAGGAATTTCTATAATAGCTGCATCCAGGTAAAAATTTGGCCGGTCACGTTCTTACTGGACAATTTGATTAGTTAAATTATAAGACAAGATGTTAAACATCAAATCCACGATTCGGTACCTTTTTCCTGTCTCTTTTGTTTGTTCTTTTTTTTCCCTCTCGCGTCGTTGATTCACGCTCGTCCTAATTCGACCCGAACTACGCGAAACTTTCACCACCTATTGGCTCGCCATTTGTCCCTAATAATGAAGTTAACTTGTTAACTGATATGGGGATTTCCCGCGATTTTCTTGTACTCCCTGGCGACGTATAATCCCGTGGATTTTTCCAGGTCGAGAACGTGACTGACAGAATGAGCATAATAGTTCTACGTTTGGATGGTTCGCGGAAAATGATTCTAAAATGAATACAACTGGGGATGCCTTGAATGGCGTCCCTATTTTGGAGTAATCGTTCGAAAATTTAAAGAGAAGCACGTGTAATGGTAATTGTCTTTTGAAATCTGTATTATACCATTCGGTGAATGTAATATTTTCTCTGAATTTTCGTCTCCCCTGGACGTTCTGAGGAACTTCCAAAGTTTGAAACCACGTGGAATAAGTATGAATCTACAGTTACAGTAACTCGTATCAAACTAGGAATCTTATTTCGAAATTAAGAAAAACTTTTTGGAAAGTATATGAACGAACAGGTGAGCCACTGTATCTTTATGACAAAGATGAAAATGAGAACAATTTATATTAAAATATTCTACTATTAACATATGGCGCTATTGACGATTTCATCTGCTTTAGTTCGGCTATGCGATCCGTTACTTATTGATGCTGAAAAACATTTATTCTTTGATAAAAGAAGATCTGAGTGTTTTAAATGTAGTAGTTCTTTTGTATCAAGATTTACAGAATCAAAGGGTATCATACTTTCAATATACCGAAATGACAGCGTTACAATTCAAAGGTATTCGAAATTTGATTGCTGTCTACAATCATTAATTGTTAGAATCATCAAAATTTAACGTACTGTATTATAAAGTTTAGAAGTTCAAATCATAACAGTACATAATCGACTCTCAGTTTCAGATTTTAAAGGGCGTAGTATTAAAAAAAATGACCAGGTTCTTCTATATTTTTTCATTCGTACACGTAGTATAGGAGGTTTCATTGGAAAGAAATATGGGGCATTTCTACGGTGCATCAGTGCATGTCAAACGTGTTGCGTATCCCTTAGATGCGGCAGCACCTGCTGTACGAGCTGTCCGAATGGTGCCCATTTACAAGGCGTTCCCAGTGTCGGATCATGATCCATTTGTTACCACTGGAGTAAAACTTAACACGACGTGGCCAGTCTGTGTATCGTCGACCTTCAAAGTCTACAAAACCGAAAGGGAATGTAATAGGAACAATATAACAGAAACATAAATACCTAGGCCTTAGATAAGATTAATTTAAATGAAAAATGAGGTAAATCAAGTAATGTTCATATAAGAATATGTAACGAAAGATCAAAGTAGATATTAAATCTCCCGTTATATAAAAAGTTAATATTACTATTTATACGCGATGAATGAAAGAAGTCCTTCGACAGCCATCACGATCACAGATCAAGTGTCATCCGTAATAAACGTTTGGATTTCGAGTAATTCACACTTAAATGGTACATAGCTTAGGTAAACTAATAAACGATCCACCACTATTTTTAATTCTAGGGCAGAGAATTTTAAGTGAAAAATATTGCCCTGTTCTTTCACCGCGTAAAACTGGTATAGTAGGACCTCGATTATTCGAAATACAGTAAATCTTCGATTAACGCTTGAAACTCGGGACCGTTATGGAGCAGCCACTGCATGAATTGTGACTGCATGAAGTGCATTTTGGGCCTAACTTCCCGTGTGGAATCCTCAAGTAGTGGGAATAAAGCAGAAATAGGTATACATATACCGTAGAGATCTTTTCAGTTCTCGATAATTTACTGTAATAGGGAGAGAAATTCATTCCGATGGACGGTTTTTCGAATAATTGGTCCAGAAGACCACAATTTCACATGTATCTTTGTCCACTCGTTCTATGTTCCACTAATCTTTATTTGGAAGTTCTACTGTATATGCCGTTGAAAAATCATCATGATCATGAACATAAATGAAATAGTATAGATCATTGGGCTTCCGTAAAAACAGTGGAAATAATGTACGACTGATTGCCACACCTAATAGTTGTATAATTTCCCCAAATCAAAGGACACCTGGGTCTCCAGTATTTCTGGACATTTTACTTAATTTAACGTTGGATAGAAAATACAATGAACGAAGGATCGAGATATAAACGGAGAGACGAAAGGTGAATAAAAAATGGCGGCGATCACGGAGAAGCCCGGGCGGCGATCCGTGGCGTACGTTAATGCGGAAAGCGTGTCGTTTGCGGAGGTCCGGTTTGATCTGTCCCTTTCCGAGGCGCATTGAAAAGGCGGCGGTCGTAATACCGTTTAACGCGGCGAAGAGCAACGGTTGCCCGTCGTAAAAGTAATGCGCTCACCGGCCGTTCCGTGGACCGACGTTCGTCACATACGACGAGGACGCCGTAATGGCTGAATCCGGTATGTCCCCGGACTCCATCCCCAAGGATTGGTTGCACGATCCTGAAACATGCCATTTAACTTTATTATGCACACAGATACCCTGGCAATTACTCGATTTGGCGAAAGTTTCCCGGCGCACCCGCTCGACTCGGCCTCCACCGATTCGCCCATAACAATGGCGGATCGGCCGAATCGGCTACGAACGTGCAATGAGTCATGACCGAATAGCAATGGGACCGAGCCGAACGTGTACAGAGACGCGCAAAAGTATCAGGTTAGACGAAACAGTTCCTGGAATTTTTATTTATATAAAAAAATATTGATTTATTTATCAATGTTCAATCAAGTGATACGAACATGATTCGTGTATATCTACTTATTTGTAGCGGTTAGTACGAATGTAATTGTGAAACTACATCCGAGGCGTTTATTACAAAAGTGACGTAAGTCTGTTTTTGGAAAAAATTGAGTTGAAACGTAATTTGGTTACAATTTAATGGGAATTTTTTGTTTATAAACAAATTACTGTTCAGGTTTTAAAATATTCATTTGTTTCGGTCGATATAGGTTTCGTTGTTATATTAAATTGCAAAATTTTTTATTATGAAAGTGGTGCACGTTCATTTTCTGCAAAGTCGATTAAAAAAATCTATTAATTTCCCTAAAAAGATGAAATACTACATACGTAGCTAAACAACATAGCAAAAGGAATACTGAATGTAATTTATCTGTTTATATTGTTCTAACAGAAGAGGAATATGGTCCCCTTCAAAGTAGTTCCCAACAGATATAACACACTTATGCTTGCAATTTTTTCAATCCTCAGAACATTTCTGAACCGCACTTTTCGGAATAGCCTTCAACTCTCTCAGTGATTTTGCCTTTATATCCTCTATTTGGTCGCAAAACATTGTCCTTTCATAGAACAAGTAGTGAAGTGTAGTGAAGCGACCATAGATGAGATAAATGCAAAATCACTGAGAGAATTGATGACTGTACCGAAAAGTACGTGTCAGAAGTGTTTTGAGGAATGGAAAAAACACTGACATAAGTGTGTTATATCCGATGGGGACTACTTTGAATAGGATCATATCTATCAATATTGATGAATAAATAAATATTTTCTGCAATAAATAAAAATTCTGGGAACTGTTCCATCAAATCTCATATGAGATCGCGAAAAGGTTTTTGTAATAATTCGAATCGTGGTTTTCATATTTTAGTGACGTGTACAGATGTGTAAAACTGAATGTGTGAATTTTGTAGGATAGGTTCATCCATTTGATTTTTCTTTACTCCGATAATCTGTAAAATAGTCTGTGAAAGTATGGATTTGCATACACACTGGTGGGTAACAATAATTTCTAAATGTAAGATAATTACGTACAATATCAGGTATTTGTTAAAATTTCTTAAAGTATGTATTTCATTATTGCTATCGGGAGTCCACTGCATTAGTGTAAATAGTATGGTAATCTACTACATTCATGCGACGGAACCTTTTACATTTCTCCAAGCAAATGATGGCAATCAATTAACGATTTCTTTTTATCTTATTATTACTAATATTACTTTGCTCTTTTTAACTGTATCTGCTATGAGCACTTAAAATTCACGGTCTACTGCGCAAAGGTACCATAAAATGTTTAAATGTGCAGAGTGGCGTTTCGATACCACTCATGATTCACGTGGATCATTTTGAAAAATTCCCAGAGTAAAGCAGAAAGTCGACTTTTTTACCGTTCTTAAAATACTTATATTTTTCAATATGATCCACAACATTGATGCACTTGGACCAACGATATTCTATTTTCTAAACGTTCTAAATAATCTTGAAATCATATTTCAGTATTGTGACACACATTCGTTTGTAATAATAATATAACGGGATGCATATTAATACCGTATGGTCTGCCGATATTAGAATGGAAACTGAAATTAAAGAACACTCGAGTGCGGAACGTTCCAGTTACTCCTGGATCGAGTGGAGTCACTTCGGTCTCCCAGTGCTTAGCGAAACGTTTGGCATTACAGGGAACGATTCAACGAACTCTTTTTTCCTGATGAAAGTCGCTTTTTACGGTAAAGTTCACTTTTCGATACTGTTTGATGCATTAGGAGCAGTGGGGGGCAGTTGGTACGGAAGAATTGCACGGTATGTAGGTCAGTCGATAGAGAATAATTGTTATAAATGTGCACGACAGAATTTCCGTTTTTTCGGTCACGTGAAGTATCGTGAACAATGTACAGTATCGAGTAAAACTACAATAACTTGAGCGTAATAATTCTTTAGAAAATTAATTTCTTTAGGATTGTTTGCATATTAATTGACGAAGAGTATGGATATCCTTAAATGATATTTTATTAAATATTTACTTATTTCGTATATCATCTTTTTTAAGGACAGATGATTAGGGTGAACAGGGATAAATCTCCATTAGTGCATAAAAGTAACAATATTGAAATAGTTACATACAATGCATATAAGTTTGCAACGGCCGAGTCACATAGGTACTTTACTTTACGAAATTTTAGGAACTGAATTTCTGCAGTTGCATATGCCAATTTAAAAAAAAATAAACCAAACTCATCAAAGAACTATGCTGTTTAACAATGATACGGCCCTTTAAAGGAAACCTATATTTTTCAAATATTTTGTATACGGTAAGATATGTATATATGGTATAATATATATAATAGAAGGTAATCAACGAACCGGTGTACTAATAAAGTTAATAACATACTAAAAATTTCAATCGTCAGTAGTAATTGACAGACGAAATTTACAATAGGTCAGCAATCAACTGACAGCGATGGTTGCACGCGGGTCGATTGTATCTACGATCATAAACATTCTGATTTATGGTATATAATATATAAAATAATATATGAAATCAATGTATCTATTTCTGTGGGCAATATTGACATCCACTTTACAGTTTTGATAAAATATTGCTTTTTCGATATGCACACTTCAGGCAATAATCGAAATTGATTTATATTTGTTTATTCCAGTTATAGGACAATGTAATTACTTCGAAATGAAAAACCAATAAAAACAACGGTTCCAAGGGTTTTTAACATCTAAAACTGTTAACGCAGGTAGGAGAAGGCAAAGAAATTATCGATGCTAGTCGTGGGATGAGCACAAACGTATTTAATATGTAAAAACTTAATAATACGAAAAGGACGCGATGATGCACATAAACGGTATAGACTCTGGAGTGCAACGAACTAAGTAGCGCATAAGAGAAAACGTATGGGGGGAGAACTTCGCGTACACCCAAGCGGATGCACGAAGGAACCTCTCCCCGAAGGGCTCAAATTGTAAATTCTATCAAAAACAATAAAAATTTGTATCGAATTCCTGAAATATGTTAATAGAAAATACATATCACATAGAGCTTCCGAAAAAGAAGAGTTTTAAAATGGAACCAAAGGAGGTGATGTCGTGCACGTTAAAATAATAACGTACCCGCTCTACAATCGCGCTTTGTCGACCCCTTTGTATCTTGTATTTATTTGTCTTGCCTCAATTGTGCTAACTGTCAGGGACAGAGATCATGCTGAACGAGTCAACGAGAATAAATCAGAGACCAATTGTTATTCAACAATGGCAGAATCGTTTCTGATGGTGTTATTATAAGGAGAAAATACTATAATTTAACTCTCACAATAGTAAAACTCTTAATATCGCTCATTTGCTGCAACAATGACATAACTGAAAATTTTCAGTATCTGAGTTGTTAGTATAGGAAAAAACGGTTGTATCTGTACTTTTTATCGGTTGAATCGTACAAGTAAGCTTCCAAAACTTACCATGCAAGGATAGTCACTTAAATATGGTGTTCGTACAAAACTATAGCGACCAAAATATTCAAATTTGTTTTTCCTAAAATAGTGATTCTTGAGTTATGTCGTTTTTTCAGTAAATGAGTAATACGTTCATTACAAGGTAGTGAAACGGTAACATTCCTCTCTATCGAAGTTCTGTACAGGAATATTACCTATTCCCTGTAATTTTAACAAAAATAATAAAAGTTTACTTTTACGAGAGTTAAATTATAGTAGGTATTTTCTCACAAGAGTAATTTTACACGAATGCAAAACACAACTTCAAAATCGTCTCGATCCCATCGATCAATGGCGGCGATAGCGACATTTCCTAGGTCCGTCTTTATACAGTATTACTCGATTGTTATGCTCATTAAACTTCAATTTGCTTTAACTTTATCGCTGTTAGAGTGTAATCTTTCCATTAAAGTTTCCGTCGGACGACAAAAATCCACGTAGCTCGTGTAAGTCTAAAAAGTGTCTGTCTGGATCGAGCACGCGGAATTCATCGGTGCGAATAAATTTACACTATCGAGATGAGAAGGATTGACGGTCCGATTGCTTCTTACGGCAGACGCATTTGGCCGTGGATTAAACGCGGAACCTTTCGTTGATCTTCGTAAGCTTAACACGTTCCATTCAAAATTTTAAGTTTCTCATTTCATTTTTAATAATTGAACCTTACTTACAATATAAAAAAAAAGAAACGAAAAATTCGGCAAACTTTAAGGGGTGATTTCACCTCCTTAGAGTGAATGTCAGCAGAAAAAAATCGTTCCTTGCATAACTGGATGCCCTCTACAATCCCACAAAGTTTCATTATAATCAGAATCTGCGAAGAAACAATTTGTGAAACTGTAGGAGGCAATTTCATAAATATATATACCAATGAATTTGGAATGAAATGCTCGTCATTTTTTGTTATTATGTAAATTTGAATAAGTTATAAAATAAGATTATAAAAAATTTTTTTTTTATAATCAAATTGTATTTTAGACAATTTTTAAACAGCATATTACTGTACATGAAAAACCATAAAATTCGCCCGTTAGAAGTTTTCATGTATTTCATCTGGTTTTCGAGATAGTATTTCAGGGTCGAAACGTTGAAGGGTGGTTTCACCCCTTTAAAGTGAAAGTAAAAAAATACGTGTCCCTTATTTTTGCTTGCTTAACAAACGTACGAAGTTTCATTGAAATCGGCGTCTCCGGGTTGGGAAACCTTCC